GGTTATGACATGATTTTATTTACTATAAAAGTTTGGTTATAAAAAATATTGGATACTTTTGGGTTGATGTGAAAAAAAATATATGTTGGTTATGAATAAAAAGTCTCCATCTGCACCAAGACCCTTTGATGAAAAGTGACGTTTTCTGAGCCACTTCCAGGGAAATAACTCATATTTCTGGGAGGATGACTGACAAGGTTTGGGAAAAGCAAGGTTGTTTTATGTAGCTGTGATGAAAAAAGTAATATTAAGTAACGATTTCGAGTTGACATTTTTAACAATGTAGCACCAAAGCCCCTTTCTTGTGAATGATTATTATGATTGGATGTAGATTCTCTGGATCTGGATTGGATTGGAGTGATTCTTGAACACATTTAGGGCCTGTTTTCTTCCAGAAATCGCCCTATAATTTGCAGCTGCCTTCCTGAACGCTGGCAACAACTCGTCTAAAACGGTTTTGGAGTATCGGGTTACATTCCACGAATATCACGGCCTCACTGCGGCGTAGTATAAGAGTGGCGTCACGCTGGAAGCATCCTGCCTCCTCGGCTTTAACGTGGTGTTATTTTCAAACTGGCCTGGTCATGCTGACATGTATGTTTGGGAGCAGCGGGCCTTAAATTTAGAGCTGTCAGCGCCAAGCCGACTTCATTAGGGGTGGATGGGTTCATGTCTGTTTGCCTCAAACCTTCAACCTTGATTAAGGGATGGAGGATGCAAACGGAGGTGAGTCTGGCTGGAACCTAGGGTGCATTGAGCAGCTTGACAAAGGTCAAGATTTGCATTTAAATTCAGCTGCAGTGGCTCTTTATTTGAGCTCAGATTATTAAAAAGCACTTGAGCCTCGCAATAAGTTCACCTTTCATTGGCTGTGGCTTACAAGTGCAACTTGCGTCATCATCCAGTGTGTTTATTCAATAGGAGAAGGTTGCATGCTCCTTATTCCCAATGCCCACATTAGTTCCGCTCATCCGCCTTCCTCAGCTCTGGTTTGCCGTTTCCAGGCTGAACCCACCAACCTTCAGACAACCAGCAGCGGCATTCCCAGCCTCTGCTGCTGACAGCTCCAGCATGTTTGGTTTTAAAAACAGTAGCTGCCACAGATCAGGACAGGCACGCCGAGGATTAAGGAGGCGGGTGATACCTGCCACTGTGACAGAAACTGTCGTCGCTGATTGACGATGCATGTGCATCGATTTGACCCGGAGTCCTTGAAAGCCTCCCTCTCTCCTCGGCTCCATCTGTGCAGACAGCAGCTCCGAGCAGCTGAGGGCTCGTTTTGAAACTCCCCTTTCTGAGGTTCTGCAGCGCAGGTTCACACAAGGACAAGGAAGGCAGCTGGGTGCCAGATGAGAGCGGTAATTAGGCTGGTATCCACCGGGCTTTGGTTACAGGTGCAGATCTGCCTGCAGGGATGAACAAAGCTGTCAATGGAAAAGATCATTCATGCTGAAACAACAGAAAGGAGGGAAAGAGGGGCTTGGACAGCTCCTGCTACCGAGCAGCAGTGCCAAGACAAGATAAATCGCTCTGAGTGGCATCACGACAAGCCCAAAGCAGGAGTATAAATCATTTTGCAGTGCGAGCTTTCAGAGCAGAAGGAGAGGCTTTTATTTTAGCCGCTTGTTTCTGGAGAAAGGAAAGACCCTCAATGCTGCCCAGCAACATGAACACAGGATTATTCAGTCAGTCAGACAAAGGAGCTTCTTTTTATCGCTTTATTTTCCATTTATACTTCAGTTTTGATTGTTGGTTTTATAAAACTCAGCTTTATTAGTATTAAGATGAACAAAGATACAATATGTTTTAGTTTAATCACTTCTTCATTACCTTTTTTTTTCTAGTTTGTTTCTTGCTGAGTTTTATTAGTATTAATGGACACAGCGGAGACATTTTTCAGTGTTTATTCATGTATTTATTTATTTAAGAGGCTCCCATGTTGTGATTCTGAAGAAACTCAAAGGCGTAAAGGAATCTGCTCTTTTATCTCTTTCCCTTTTGCTCGCCATCAAACCAGAAGCTAAAAGCAAAACACCAGGATGTTTATTGGAACACCGACTCTGTTCCAGTCCCTTGTTTTTCCTTATCTGCTTTCGTCTCTTGATGCCTGATTGCGAGGATATTTCAGCTCCTTCCAGCTTTGTGTCAACAGTTTATATCAGACTTACATTTCCTGATGCGAGACGACAAGCACACCTGTCAACAAAGCCACCTACATAGTTTAAATGCTTCACCTGGTTTGTTGTTGACTTAAAAGGCCAGTGAGGACATGCAGTTCCCAACAACAACTTTTTTACATAAGCATACACTTCCTATGTCATTTGTCTAGTAAATTCAGGTGTAAATTATAGAAATTTAACTAAAAGAAGGAAAATAATCAACTTTTTATACACATTTTACATTTATTTTCTTTCACCCTTGTACTTTTTTTAATTTTTAAAAGCATATTTCTTTTTTTGTGTTGTTTTTTAATCTCCTAATGAATATTTTCATTTTTATTTTTAGTCCATATGCTTTGCATTATTAATAAATGTATAACAATCAACACCTTCCTTCATTTTTATATGCATTTTTAGTTTAATTTATTTGTTTTTATGTTTTAAGCCATTTGACATTAGCTTGACCAATTTTCTTCCATAACTTTCTATAATTCGCTTGTTTTGCACAGATATTAGTCTCGAATGCTGATTTTGTTGTTTCTATTCATACTGACATGATGTCTTATTGCGTCCATCGTGTTTTAACCTTGAAACGGGTCACAGCACCATTAAACATGACCCTTAGGAGCAACATTGCAGCCTGATTTGAGCTCTGAAACCTGATCTTTCCATTCATCATTCATGCTGTGTCCACTTGGCCTCAGCGCTGCCCTGCAGCTCCCACTGTCACACGTTACAGACCCTCAATTGCTAACATTTTGCTGCGTTCTCTCAGTTTCACATGTATTTACATCCTTGTTGCTCTGCCATGCTGTCTGTGAGCAACCTGCTTTTTGTTAAAAGCCCTTTGTCGATAAATTTGACTTCCCTTGACACTCAATACGGAGTCCATTAAGCTGCAGAGCCATGGGGTTACTCTGCACAAGGACCAGTGGTTCCAGTAAGGAATATGTGCTGAGCCCTCCTCAGCTAGCATCATCATACGTAATTCAGGCCCATGTAATGCCATTAGAGGAGATTTGGCATCTGATAGTTGAGTAATGGGATTAGCTTCATGGGCAATAAATCTCCAAGACCAGGATGGCAGGTCTTCCCCACTCAAAGGGAGACGGATACAACATGCCACTTCCACAAGAAAGTCGTACTCTTTTTTTTTCATGAGAAAAAGTTTGAGGAAGTGAAGGAAAATGCAGCTGCAGGAGGGTTGGTGCACGCATTCTTGCAGGATGGAAGAAACCTTACCTGCAACCACATCTGCAGTAGCTGGCGTATAAGGTGACAATGTGACTATTGTTGTAATATTAGCCTCACCTAACACATAATAAACACAGAGTAATTCCAAGATAAATAAAAGGAGGAAATACTTTTGCTTTTTCTGAGCTTGGGTTTCCAGGAATAGACTGAAAATCTCTGCATCTACTGGATCTAAATCCTCTCCTTCACCACAAACTGGCCTGTACTGGTTTCTCCAGCTTCAAGAAACAGGAGCGTCATTTATTTTTTTCTTGCTGGAGATGAAAGCCAACGCTCCGATGTAGAACAGGTGACTCAGCTTGCAGCACAGAGGAGAAATCCCCCGAGACCTTTGACCTCCTAATCGCTGAGCAGCGCTTATAGCTGGAGATCTGCTCCAGGCTATTAGGGAGATTAGTGTCACACAGATTTTGGGACCAGGCCAAGCCTATATCTGTGCTTCATGGCATTCTCAGCATTTATTACTTAGCACCCAACCCATGTTGAAATCCAATATGTGACCTATAGTAGCACATAGCTGCAGGCTGTAGCATGTGTGCAGATTGTGTTAAGCAACAGGGTTGATGGATGGACATACGCTTGGTAGTTTGTTAGAAGTATAGTTTGCATTCTGGGTTTTCCTTTATGGTAGAAATGCCCCATAAACTCTCCTAGTTTAATTAGATCCTCCATGTAGTGCAGAAAATACAAGTTTATTGTTGCAATTTACTTACAAATATGTTGCATGTTTTTACAAGTCTTTTTAAATGAAAAGGTGGCCCTTCCAGCTCGGACCGCCCATCTTTTGTCGCTTCGGGACAAACCAGAGTATAAAACAAGCAGCCTTCCCGAACAAAAAACAATCCCTAAGCTCGTAAAGCCGCTCAAACAAGCTCCAAAGAGTTATTCAGCGTCCTACTGGAAATGTGCGGATTTTACCTCCAAAGTAAAAGGAGAACTCACGCAATGTCAAAACCTGAGCAAAAACCAGCTAAATTGATCTTTTAGAAAAAGGTTTTTCAGAAAACATCACAATTAATCAATAAACAAACGCCACTGGTTCCATATTTGTGGAGTTCTCTATGGAACATAACTTCAAAAATATTTGGGGAAAATTCACATATTCTGGGATTTTTTTGTACATTTCTAAAATATTCTTAGAGTATTTAGAGGGGAGTCTCAAGTATTCGTCGATTTTAGTTATTTGGAGATTGTTGTGATTCTGACTCCAACTAATACCAGGGCTCCAATGAGCAATAATCTTTTATTTGGTCAAAAAAAAATTATCAAATGTTTCAAATATATAATCTAATTTCTGCTGGCAATTCATTTATGCTACAGCTCCATTTTGCTAGAAACTTTGGCCGAACATTTGCCCAAATCTTCTGTTGGCAGGTTAGCTTTCAGACAAATGGAATAGACTATAAAAACTTACATTTTTGCCATAGATGTTAAATATTCTTTAACATTTGCATTTCATTTGCGTTCATTTACAAAACAAAGAACAATTACCTTGTGTTTTACTTTGAAAATCATCACCGGATGCGGGACAGCTCAACTTGGCATAGCTGACACAGATCAGTGACTCCATCTTGAAATTGTCCCGACCCGAGGAGGAGACGGACTTGGAAAATCCAGCTCGTCCTACACGGATTAACTGTAGTTTTGCCCGATTATTCTGCAATAAAACACGGTTTTCGCTCCTTGTATTGAGTTCGTTCGACGGAAGCGGTTGTTTGGCCCACTTTGAAGGAGCGTTACACTCCGATTGGAGCCCTTTAATCGGTTGTGTCCCTGCTGGATCGACCGGAGCTGGCTGTGGTTGTGGCCGGGCAGCCCCGTCGGACTGTCGGGCGAAGCGCAAGGATTTAAACGTCAAAAACTGTTTTTAAACCCACCATTTTAAAATCGAAGACTACGAAGTGGTGTTTTTAAGAAAGAAAGAAGTCATATTTTACGGCTATGTTCCGGAGATCGCCGGGGAGAAGTTTGATTAAGCACCCGAGTGCGCTTGGTGTGGAGTCCGATGGATGTTAGCCCTGCCCGGCTGTGGCTCGGCTCTCTGCGCCGCTCTTCTGAAGGCTCAGTTTGTCTGCCCATAATGCTGCTGCTGACCTCGCAAGTGTATGAAAACACTGGCACTGGTGCCGCCAAGTCGCCCTCCATTGCTTCGCTGTAAAACCTGGAAATACCACCCAGCATTCCCTTCTCCTCTTCTCCTGTTTTTGGGACTTGTAAACTGGAATATTTAGGATTTAGCCTCCATTTATTTTCTTTAAATATGAACATTTTCCAGAGACTGTTCTCCTTTGGGGAGCAAGACATTCAATTTTAATCGTTTTTGAGAATATTTTTACTCATTTTTGTGGAATTTGAGCTTTTATAAAAAAACATTCTTTTTGTGGACACATTCGGATGGAAAATGGGAGACGCTACAAAACTGGCCATAGCCGTTTTCCTCATCTCCTGCTCTTCAGGTGGGTATATCGAGGTTATGCATGGTCTTATAATGCAATGTTTATTACCTCTGCAGAATGCAATGCACAGCTTGTTGCAGGTTGCACTGAATGCAACACAACGCAGACCTGTGGGAAGAAAAGAAGGGTGGAAAAAAACTAATTCCCTCAACCTTTTCTGCAGCCCACTTGTGTGGCTGTGCATGTTTCGTATTTAGTCAGCTCTAGATGGGGCCTTTAGGCCCTCAAGGGGCCTTTGTGGAGCTTTGAGTGAGACATGTTGCTAGAAATTGGGTCTGTTTAGTTTAAGTTAATTAGGAAACAACAAGAGACAGTATAAGTAAGGACTATGCAGTAGGAATAAATAGATTATAAGTCCAAATTTAAAGTTAAATGGTTGTGATTTGAATGGGGCTCTGCAGTGGGTTTTGTCAGTGTAATATATATTTTTCACTCTCAGTATATTCACTTGTTGAACAAATGCAAACAAGAAGAAATGAAGTCTGGTGAGGCAGAATTAAAGGCGTATTGCAACTACATTTTAGTTATTTCACCTGAAACAGCAGCAACAATATAAAAAAAATTCAGTTGTATGTTGTTTTATTTTTTAATGAACATTGTGAAAGAAGTTCTACCGAATACACTGAAATTGACCAAAAAGTCAGTAATTATGCATTATATTGTGTATATAATGTGAAAAGTATTGGACTGAGCACAGAACCCTGTGGTACACTATAAGTAATGTTCAGCCACTTATTGATTAGAAGGCATAGATCTTTTATTGTTGAAGTAGTTTTGTGGTGAATTTAGACATTTTTGGTTAAAAATTAAGTTGCAGAGTTATTAAATGCTAAATTAAATGCTTGATTTCAAACTTTTTGATATCATAATTACATATTCTGTCAGTTTTATTTGATTTTGGTTGTCTTTCAGTGATTGGTGGGTTTCTTTTATTCAGCCAGAAGATAATTTATTGCTGTTGCTATTGGTGTAATTTACCATTTAAATTAGCATCAAATAATATTCTACTTTGCCGCTTTTTTGTATTTTAAATATCTAATCTACATTTGGAAATTAAGATAAAAACTATTTCCAGTGTGTGATGGAAGCAGGAGGAGAAGAAGGCCTGGCATGCGATTTTGGAAACGTTAATGGACCTTTTGGATGATGGAATAAAATGACACTCAAAATTAAGAGGAATGAGGATGAAAAGGATAAAAATGATGCTCTAGCTGTTTCGGTGACTTTGAAACAGTTTTAACTGCAGGAGCAATGTCATGGAATATTTTTGTGGTTTTAAAACTCATCTTGAAATTAATGAGTAATATCCCATGTCTGTTAGTCATAGTATGTTAGATTTTAATAGGTTTACAGTTAATTATACACCCCCGTTCCTCTTTCTACATCCTCATTTTCCTGAAGTTAAACGTCCCACCAGTATGGTGAAGTGGTGACGAACAGAACAAGCTCAACCACAAAGTGCTGTTTGGTTTTTCTTCTCTTTCCGTTGTGTTTTTTTTTTTTTTTTTTTTTTGCACAACATTGTTTACGTGGCATTGGAAGTGAACTCTTCCATGATGCTAAAAGTCTTTACTTTTATTTTTTAACTCCAAATATTTTGAAGACGTTCCAAGAAAATCGCCTTTGCAGACTGAGACTGGTGTTAGTGGGTTTGCTGGATTTGCAGATCAGGAATTTGAGATTGCAGTTTTCAAAGTGACGGTTTTGTTACCTGATGCTTCAGCTTGGAAGTGGGAATTGCCTAATCGGAGGTTGCACAACAGAAATTAAGCCTGGAGGCAAAATTTTCCAAACTGCTTTGGAAAGAAACGCTGCATATCAGTGCTAAAGCTTAACCTCAAGAAGTAGAGGAAGGATGGGAGGTGAAAACATTCTCTCACGTTGCAGTGGGATAGTTTCACAGTAAGGTGCCTTGGAGTGTCTGCGAGCGTTTGGGTGAAAATGAAAAGCTTTCTCAAATTGGGTAATAGTCAGGGTTGCTCCGAGTGTCAGCCAGGTGCTGTCTGTGTTTTGCAGAGTGCAGCAGATGATTATTCTACTCACTCATTACTGTCTGAAGTGGGGAAATGAATGGTTTCCACTCAGAGTGGGATAATAACTCTCTGGGAAAGCCGAGTGGAACTGGCACCGCTCACAATGGCACCAAGAACCCAGAGATAAGGACAGAGCACTTAGCCAACAGGGATTTTTATCTGATGAGGCCAAAAGAAACGCGTAAGGGTTAAGTTTGTTTGTCATGGCTTGTGACCATGACAAACCATGTCTGTATACCTTTTGGTTTTCAGAAAAACTCTGTGCAAGCTGCTCTTCATGCTAAAGTAGGCAGGAAATTAAAGTAGAAATGGTCTAGTGCAATTTTGGTTCCTTAAATGTCAAAATAACACTTTACTGAAGCGGCATATCAAATGTTGAAGTTAAATTTTTTGCCTAACGGTTTTTGCAAAATCACTTAAGACTGTCGGTCTTTCACTTCTTTGTCAGTCTATATCCACATTTTTATCCTTGACTTAAGCATTTAGCTAACAATAGCTAACCGTATGACCAGAGAATTAAAGATGAGTAATACAAGCTAATGAGGTGGATTAGCAGAGCTTGAGAGTGCCATCCAGTACACATGTGGATTGAGTCAGGATTCTCATGAGATGTCATACATCAGTATTCCTCAGTCAGAAGCATCTTCAGATTTGTTGGAAGACTGACTGCTACCAGAGATTCTTCATTCCCACAACATCAGCTTCCACAATGACTGAGAAACAAATGAGAATATGTTTATTTTAATTTAACTTAACAGAAATTGATATCTTTTGATGTGATGAGTTAAAACAATTTTATTACATGAAAGCCATTTGTGAAGAAATTGATTATTATGATTATTATGTTTAGAATAATCCAAGCTGATTTTTAAAAGACAAATCAGCTTGGAGCTGTCTAAATCTAGACAATCACGGCATGTTCTTGAATGCACCGTGAAGTTGGAGTTCAACCACAAAACGCTCATGGCCTTTAAATATTATATGTTTGGACCATGAAGGAACCCATGAAGAAGATGCACTGAATTCAGTTTAATTGCATGATGCATTCAGGAACCGAGGGGAAAAACAGACCTCTTGTTTGTCAGAAGTTTAGTTTGACAAGAAATAGTAGGTTCAGTCAGAATAACGAAAGGTAAAATGGTTTTTGAACAACGTTCCACCCCCGAGCAGCTGGTAATCCGCCCCAGATCATCAGTTTTACAGGCGACCTCTGCTGCGAGCCTGAACTGCAGATCGGTAAATATTTACAGTGCGACTTCATCCCAGACAACAAGTCCACAGATTTCACCGTGCAACTCCACTCTGAAGATTTGTCCTAATCCTCAGGCTTCCCCATTTCATGTCAGGAAACTGTGTCAGCACATAAACCAGTTTATACAGCTCACATCCATTCATGATGGCTTCATTTTTTTATTATTATTAAAATGGAGATTTTAATCCCCGGTGTTGTTGCTGCAATAGACGACAAACTTTGTTGCATCCTCCCCCATATGGTTAATCATTAGAAGACATGATGCTTTTCTGAGGTGAATATTTACTTCTTGAAGACACTTCTTTTCCCATTTCACCACATGTTGACCAAAGGTGGTTATTGCTCACTTTTTGACTTTAAAAGTCAGTTGAAATTGCTATAATAACAATAAGTATTTTCAGAGTTACCAAATAGATTTTCAACATTTTCCAAGTATGGAAAAGTAAATAATAAATAAAAGTGGGTTTTGAAACTCTTAGTCCACATATTTAACTTTGTTGTGAATTTTCTCGTGTCCCCATAGGCTCAATGTAATTACACCAAGAATAAACAATATGTAGTTACATTTTTGTGATATTTTGTGGTAGCAAACTATGGAAACAACAATTGAAAAACTAGATAGACTAAACCATCTCCACCATACTTTGGTTTTTGAAAACATAAATCAGTTGAGATGATGAAACTCAAACATTTTATTGTGAAACAATGAAGCCATTTTGTCAAAATAAGATTGTTATATCTTGTCACAAAACAGGCTTTAAGTTTTCTTATTTTGATAAAACGAGACACTCAAACCAAATCGTAGTTACTGGTGGGAAAAGCTGCCAACTCCTGCATGTTTATCTTTTATGGCCATCGGGGTCGTTTTGACTGCTCATGTTCGCAAAAGGATCTGAATTTTTTGGAAATTCTGCATTTGGACAAATTAGGACATTTTTAAATGACACATTTTGTGTGGAAATGAATTTAATTGTGTTGCTGCCAGTGCAGAGCTTGCTTTTTGACTAGTGATGAATACTTTCTTAACTTCATCTTTGTGCTGCCATGTTTTTCTCATTTCCCACAGATACGTCCTCCCTCTATCTATAATACGTCCTCCTGCATTATGCATGGGGTCCAGTGGCACTGGCGTACTTGTTAAAGCCTGGCGTTGTCCCCGTTTCCCCCATCGGGCCCAACTAGCCCTGACTGTTTCCTCATCATGAAAACAGCTCAACTCAAAGTGTCCACCCAAAGCAGCTGGCGCTGCTGCTGCTGCTTGTTTTGACTGGTCCTGCACCAGTTGGAGCACTGTTTATATTTTACTGGGCATTTAGACTTTTCTTATTGTCAGAACTGAAATGGATTTGTTTTTGCATTAATGCAAGTGAACAAACCTTTGCTGCAGTCGGAGGACTTTATCTGCCACTGAGGGGACTTTCCTGAGCAGCAGAGATTTGTTCTAACCTGCTGCTGGAGGAATACCAAATCGATGGAGATTTCTCAGCGTGCCGACATCCAAATCAAAAAAAGTAATGTTTGCACATGCTGTTTACCTCCTTAGAGGAGATCTGTGTGTGTGTGTGAATAAAGATTTCTAAAGCACCCTGACTCTGGAGAGTTTTTAGATTTGGAGAAGCGTTTTATCTTGATGCGTCGGTCCAGTGTGGCCTTTTACTGTAATTAATGCGTACTGCAGATGTTGCTTTTTGTGCATGGGAGAGTTTGAGTCTAGA